TTTGATGTTGACATTTTAATCAGAACTGTCACACAAAACCAGTCAGTCCGTCAAACTGAACAAATCTGTAGCTCACAGTGACCTCTGACCTCCCAGAAAACATCTACATTTCTGTGCATTACATCACATTAAACATTATACAAGGTCTGGGCAGTTTAATACTCCTGTCATATGTGAACAAAGTTGAGAAACACATCAGTTTTTATTTGAATCCTCTCTGTCACAAGAGAGACCTTGATTTTTCCAGTTCTTCTGGGAATAAGCAACATCAGTGAAACCAGACTTGTTTATATTCTCATCAGAGATATTATTTGTTATTCAAGGGCAATCATGAAATCCAAAAAGAACAAGAGTACGACACTACTGAATCAATGAAATGCGTGTGAGACGCACAGAGAGGCCTTAACTCAAGAATACTTCACTGTTTGTCTGCCCTTCCTCCCACACAGGCTAAAACCAGGCAAATCTACTTTCACTTTCGTTAATAACCTTCGTGGGCAAGTTTAACCCAGATTTACATGACGCCGGGTCCTTCCTAAATTCCTATTGGCTCTTATGGAGGCTGATATTAGACGTTCCTGAGACGTTGCTTTCAGTCGCGCTGTGACACTCGTTGAGAAGGCTCAGTGTATCTGTCTGATATTTGTATTTTATAGTGAGTCTGTCAAAGCTGCAGGAAACGATGAAGGCTTTTCTTGCTCTCAGTTTGATTCTTTGGGGATTACACGACGCGGAGGCCGGTGAGTTGACCCGTTTGGTTAATTGTATAATTATATATGATAATGATAATTATCTTTATCTTTAGACCTTCGTGCGTGTACAGATCTGAAGTGCGCTTTAGACTTCGAAGATTATGAAATATGTTAGAAACCCAACTATTAGTTAGTGATTCACTTTATCTTTTAGGGCTTTGGGGCTAAATAACTTTAGGCTCAAAACCATGATTAAATATTTATTTTTAAGATTAAATCAATGTATGAAACTGTTTGGTCCTGTGAAAACTTACAAGTGAAATATTGGATTTATGAGAAAAATGCTGCACTTTGGCTGAAATTCTGATTATCTGACATTATGTGGAGATAATGAAAAGTAACGTAGACCTATATAGAGAGTAGCAAAAGAAACATTAGATTCTTTATTAGATTAATCTGTATTCAAATTACTGATGACCTAACAGACCTAAAAAAAGGTTTTTGTTTTGGACTTTTCTGATTAGATGAAGGAAAGTAAAGGAATTATTTTATACAGCACTTTCTTGAACTTACCATTAGAAACTAATGAGAAGCGAGAGAGAGAGTTGGACAATATGGTTGAAATCAGTTTTATAATATAAATTTCCGATATCTGTATCACAATATGGAAAATGTATTAAGAAATAATTACTATGTTATCTCATATTTTCCTCAGCCAGGCTCAGTTTGTCTTAGCATCACAGCAGCTTTGTGTTTGGAGTTTGCTGACTCCCTCGGTGTAACCTGCTATTCAAAATGGTGACAGTGTTTCTTTTGCCACAGTGACGCATTCGCTGCAGTACTTCTACACGGCCTCATCAGGAGTTCCAAACTTCCCAGAGTTTGTCAATCTGGGAATGTTAGATGGGCTACAGATGGATTACTATGACAGTAACATCAAGAAAGTGATTCCCAAGCAGGACTGGATGGCCAAGAGTGAAGGACCTGAGTACTGGGAGAGACAGACTCAGACCTCCATTGGTGCTGAGCAGAGCTTCAAAGCCAGCATTGAAATTGTCAGGAAACGCTTTAATCAAACTGGAGGTGAGTAGTTCACAGTCACTGGAAAATCATTTAGAAATGTTCGTGACATTGATATCAACATTCACACACAGTCTCTTTTCTCTCTCTCTCTCTCACACACACACACACACACACACACACACACACACACACACACACAGAAACAACAGTCTGTTGATAAGTCTACCGCTCCTTTATTTTAATTTCTCCTGTAAAGTTCTACAGTATTAAAACTTTTATTGAACATTATTTATTTATTCATGTCTATGTTTGAAGCATGTAATGTTAAAAACATGTTTCACAGGGCAGTCTACAAGCAGCTTCAAATAAAGTAATATCAATAATTAAATAATTAAGAAAAGAGAAAAAGCCACACCCACATGAGGAAAGCATTTCATTTGTCCTCAGTGTTTTTTTAAATATATTTTTAGAATGGGTTCAGAATCTCTTTTGTATTATATGTTAAAGTAAGAGATTTGAGAGCTGAATCCACTTCAGTCTGTTTTAATTTGAAAAGGGGGAAAGTACAGTTGTTATTTTTTGTCATTATAACCAAACAAGGCTATGTGTGTATTTTTTAATCAGAGTTTAAGTCAGTATAATAAAAGGAATAATTCCTATTTCAAACTGAAAGTAGATGAATGAGGGTTTCATCAGTGTTTCTGCAGAAGTTGTAGGAACTATCAACATACACACATCTGTAGCTGAGTTCTCTGGATATATATATATGTGTGTGTAAAATCTTTAATTTCTTTCACCTTATATAGAATAAAGTAGCTCAGAGGCAAATGTTTTTGTCAATCAAATATCCAAGAGAAATTCTGTTTTTACTTTGTAGAATTTTACAAAACTCATCTATATTTTATTGACACAGATTCAGTTGTTTGGTATGAAAAATTTTTTTTCATTCATACACCTGAATGAATCACATTACTGAGTCTGGAGACTGGATGCTGCACTTTCTTTCCAGTAGATTAGATCAGAATAACTCTACTGAACTTCCCACAGTGAATTGGTTCATAATAACTTTTTTGTATTAGAATTATTCAACAATTCATTTTTTCTTTAAAGAGACAAAACTGCTGCTTTCTTGTGGCGTGGTCTCAGTGTTATTCAGAGAGAAGATGGTCATCCTGACCGACAGAGAGAGAGAGAGATGGAGGAAGAGTGTGATGAGAGAGAGGAGGAGAGGGAGAGATGACTGTTTTAGCTTCAGCACATATGAGGATAGTTAGTTACAGTAAATATCAGTGATCCTACAGGAAAGGAACCGTCACACATCATCCAAACATAAAATAAATAACACACGTACCATAAAACCAGGTGTGAAATGGCAGATCTGACAGTGTAACAGCTGCTACAAGTGTGAGAACCTGCAGGATGGTGTTGTACTTTTAAACAAACACACAAACAAACAAACAAACAGACAAACAAACAAACACACAGTAACGATTGTGTCTATCAGTCACACTTACTGTGGGACAGGTGTTTTAAAACAAAGCTGACTATAATACAAATCACTGCATCAGTATCACTCACCATCATCATGGTCTCCAGTCTTGCTCCTGCCTTCTCCATCTAACTGATTATTCTGATCCACACGTGAACGTCTGTTAGAGTCGGCGTCTCTGAACGCACAGATAAAATGAAACCAATGTAAAGACAAACACATTTTGCATCAGAAGGTTTTGCGTTGCCGCCGTGAGCAGCACAGATGAGGCTACAGGTCCCGCTTACACAGTAAAAATGAAATATATGACACCTGTTATCTAACAAATGACAAACTCACCCTCCACGCCTCTCCACAGAATCACCAGCAGCCACACTGTTCGTCTTCTGTGCGCATGTAGATAATCCACCTGTGCACAGCATCAGAGAAACTTTAGTAAAACACATTCCCATATGTTGTCAGGCCTCAGTGATGCAGCCACATGGTTTGAACGTCGCCTTTATAGACAGTAATATTGGGTGAGGTCAGATCTGGTCAGTGGTCCTCCAGAGGCTGATGATCCAGAGGTCCAGGGTCGTCTTCAGAAACCTCCATTTAACTTACTGACAAGAAACAACATGTAGAATAAAGTGTAAACATTTGGGGAAAATGAAGTGATGTCTCTTGACAATCCAAGTGACTCCAACGTTATTATATTGATGTTTAATTAAAAAAGAAATTGATGTGAAGCAGGTGAGGTTGAAGAGAGGGTGAACCAGCATTACTCCACACACACACGTCCTCTTCACACTCTTATAATATACAGGTGTGAGTTTTAGCAGCTAACAGTCAACACATGCTGAGGCCGGAGGAAAAACCACTAACTCAATGCAACAGTTTCCTCCTGACTATGAGAAATATAAACCCGTTTGAAACCAAGACATAAGTTATTTAAAGACAAGCTGACAGTAACTGGGTCAGACACATCAAGCTACAGTCTTCAGCTACGTTAGCTTGTTAGTTAAGAGAAAAGCAGCTAAATGCAACGTCAGTGAGCGTTAGCTCGACTCACTGTGACTAACTGAACTGATAACAAATCAACAAGAGAAATACTGAACAGCTCAGTTCAGTTAAACTCACTGTCAAACTGTGAGTCCAGAAGAAATGCCTCCATAGTTTAGCTCCACCTCCATCACACGGTCCTGAGCCAGATGGCTGCGCTAGCTTCACCAAGAGCTGCTCGCTGCTTCTTCTTCTTCAGGCTTCATTTGAGCTCATTCGTGGCTCTGCTTATGTAATACTTTAAACACCATGAACAATAAAAACACACAGAGTGGTGGAAAACAACGCCGACGTCAGTGTGACGTCAGAGCTAACAGGAAGTGTGACGTCAGCTCACCGACTCGGCCCAATGTCCCCAACACCGACCTCACAGGGAAAACTTTACATTTAACAAGAGAGTTACAAACCAAGCAGCGCACAAATGAACAGGAGCGAGCAGCTGAATGAATG